AGCCCCGCCGTGCACGCAGTTCCCAACACTTCTCGTCATCCTCTCCCCGGTCTCTTTATTCGGCTGAGCGGTGCTGTGAGGGTTTCTTGACCTAACGCCCCCCCCTCCGGCCACGTTCGCGATGGTGGGTAGCAGCAAGGTGGCCCTGGAAGGGGAGGGGTCGGCCTCGAGATTGGGGGCCGGGGGGCGGGAGGGGAGGCCTCCTTTCAACTTTGTCTGTGGCCTGCACCCCGGGAGAAGGCCACAGGCCGCGTGGGGGGTGAAGATGTGCCGAGAGCGGTTTCCAAGTAGTTGAGTTGTTGAGATGAGGGTCTGTCTGCTCTTGGCAGGCAGGTTTTGTTTTCATTGGTGAATCTGGTGTCATCATATTCCGGTCATATGTTGAAATATTCTTTGTTTAGGTCTTGAAGTAGAGGATCTCAGGCTGCACGTCCACACTGTGTTGTTTTTCAGTGATGTCTCGGGGAGTGTGGATTTCTAGAATTTCAAATGTAAGTTTAGGTCCGGACATGTGTGGGCCTCATCCCTGGCCTTGACAGTGAACTTTGTGGCTGTGTTTCGGATTTCAGAGATTTGCCCCGTAGCTGGGGTGCGAGTTGTGCCTTCTTCTTAGTAGTAGGTGTCAGGAATGTAGGTGCCTGAGCTGGGAAAGTTAGAGAGGGAAGAACATTTTTATATAAATTATTGGTAGTTGGATATTAGAATCAGATTAATTGGGGCTGATAAAAGTTTTTTTTTTGTTTTTTTTTTTTAAAGCAGTTGTGCACTCTGGGAAGGAAGGAAGGCTTTTCATAGACTCACTTTATAAGGCTTCTTTAAGGCGAGGGACTGGACACTCTCCAGCATCTGTAGCTTTATTGAGAACCTGGTAAGGGTAGTGAAATTGGGGCGGAACCATGTAAGCATACTTTTCAGTGTTTATGTGATTTGTTTACATCTGGTGTTCACTCTCATTTGGGCAATAGAAATAAATAGGTCAGCTTTTCTTTTGGCTTTTTGGAAACGGCCCCTCCCCCCCTTTTTAAGTTTCACAATTTACTTGGTTTGCAGCATTGTTGGAAACCGTTACTACATTTTTTACTGGAAATACTATTATTCGTTTTAATTTTGGTAAGTTCCTTCTTCTCCTGTCTTCACTTGCAAATAGCACCTATATTATAGGCTTAAAACTAATTCATAAGGAGCCATTAAAAATGTCTGAAACATGCGTTTTAAACTCCCAAGACATGTCTTGATGGCAAACAAGAATTTTGAGAGTACAGTTACACTCATGCTTATCAATAAGATTTCTGTGGTTTAAAACTTCTGTAGATGTACTACTATCCTTAAGCAAGGAGCATAGTAATAGTGCAGAAAATTCCAAACACAAACATCTGGCTAACATGTTAAAAATATTCCAGGTGCTTTTTTTTTTTTTTAATCATACTTTTGCTTTTGCTAACCTAATAGTACTTGCAGTTTGACTGGCATTGCTTGGCTGCCCATAACAGTCTTTTGCTTGAGTGCTTTGAACGGTTTTTAAACTTAGTTTTTAGATATTTTTGCGGGCTTTATTTAAGCATGCTGCACTTTGAACTCAGGCAGGTCTATATGGAACTAGAATAATATATTAAAAAGACACCTTCCTATGCCAAAGTTTATTTTTAAGAGGTATAAATGAAGGATAGGGCCCTATTTCTTTTAGTTTTGAAGGGTCCATCCTTTTTCCTGTTCAATCACCTGGAAAGAGCTGCCTCTGAAATACTCTTCTTCTGCTTACATGAAGATCTCTAAATGCTATCCAGCAGGAGGTGCTACAGCAAGATAAAGGAAATTCTTGAATTTTGAGGGTCTTGCTTATTACAGCTCTACTAAGCTTCAGCTAAACGACAGGATTAACACGTTAACGTTCCAGAAAGATTTTTGAGTAAGTCCATTTACAATTTTTATTCATAAATTACTTTTGTTATTTGAAGCTGAAATTTTTGCTTTTTATCTGCTTACAATACTATACAAACTAGACTTGTTATTGTGACAAGCTTGCCATTGCTGGGCTTAGGGTCAAAGCGTTGTTAGATTATTTTATTTTGAAGGGGAATTAGTCTTATATTGATGAGTGGGGATGTTGAACACATTTAAAAAAATTGTTTGTAATTGCTTCAAACAAAAGTAAGTAGAATGATTTGGGGCTTTAAGCTTTATGGTCATCCCTGTAATATTAATACAACTAAGATGTAGAGTTGTTGAGGTTTTGGAAAGGTGGATATTGTGTGGAAAAAATTTAGACTTGTGTGTGCATTTTTCCCTTCAAATCTGTGGACAGTGATTTAGGCACTCAAGCTTTATAAATAAATATTGTTAAGTACTTAAGTTGACCCCCGTAGACTAAGATTCTTGAACTATAAGTAAAGTTAGGTCTGTGGGTATAGGTCATTGCTAATATGTCCATTAGTAATACTTAACAATAACTGCATAAAGATGAAAGTAGCTCCTTGAACAGTTGCATAGCATTTATAGCGCATAGTCCTTTAAAATTCGGTTAGTGTTAGGTGAGTTGATTATCACTGATATATCATGTTACTGTGGTTGCTTGTAAAGTTTTCTATCAAAGTTTTTAAAACTTAGGAACTTTTGAAAATATCATGAATCTGCTTTGAATTTTGTCTGTTTTGTAGGCATAATACTGTTCTTTTTGTCTCGGTAAGATCAAATGAGATAATACATGTAAAATTTCTTTTACATGTCAGAAGACAGATATTAAGTTGTCGAGATAGCTAAACTAATTAATACATGGATAGAAGCTTCTGTCTTAAAATGCTTTTTCCTATATTGGGAAATTAGTGCTTTAAAAGAGCACCCTGGACACTTTATGAATTTTTGTTTTTTAAATACTGCTGTTGTTACCCAAATTCTCTTTGTTATAGTTTTGAAGCTTTGTTTAAAAAATGCTGCCTAGTCAGTTTCCCATAAGTGAAAAAAAAGATCATTTTTCCTTTTGAAGAGCCTGTGAAATGTATGTCTTCTAGTAAAAGTTTTTAAAAATTTCTCCATTGATGTGATAGTAGTTGATTTTAGTGAATATTGAAGTTCCCGGTTCTTCTATATAGATTTTTGGTAACACAGTAACAGATGTCACAGTTAAAGTTTTGATTGTTTTGATTGACTCTGCTAACTTTCTGAAAAATTCTTACTGACTAAGGCTTTCAAGCTTGTTTCACAGCTTGATGTGATGATGTATAGCTGTATGCGTTAGTATTAGGTACATGTGCGTATCATTTTGTTTTTCTGTTTTAGAAGGATACACAAGGAAATGACTACTGAAATCTAGAGGAATACACCGAAATATTTTTTGTGTAAAAATAACTCAAAAGTTTAAAGCCTTGAGTTGCAGCTTTCTTAATAGACTGCTCAGAAATTTGGCATACAAAATTTAAAAAACAAAATACAGATAATTGGGAATCTTTGTGTTTATGAACATATCAAAAGTGTAGTATCTTACGTTTTAAAAGTGACCGTTCTTTATGAAATAGCCCCAACTACAATGTAAATATAGAAGCTTGCTTGTGTGAAGGGAGAGAACATTTAACTGTATAGATAAAAATGAAACTTCTCAGGGTGATATTAAACTTTTGCATCCCAGACAGTGATACTAGAGCTTTTTGTGAAGAAACACTGAAGCTGAGGTTATTTTGATGTGTTTTAAAATTTGGTATCCTTAATATTCTATTGTTGAAGACTTTTGTATTTAATTGTTAGTCAAAGAAAGAGAGGAAGGGATGAAAACTTTAGGACTCTGATCTTTGGTAAAATTCTTTTATATCTATATTCAGAACTGATTTCTTGAACCATGTTTGAATTTTCATATTGTTTTGTGCTGGGAAATATTCATGATTTATGTTGGCTTCTC